ATTAATATGTATAGCTGGATGCACTGTGTTATTTCCTTCACTAGTGAAACCCTCAAAAACTTCTTTAGCATTAATCGACTTTGTTTTATATTCAGTGTAATGAGAATGGGATAGCACTGCAAGAAGCAGTGTAGTTAATGTAGCTCTTTTGTGTCTTGAAAAATGACTTCTAAGCATGAGCAAATGTGAATGAAAGTTCCACATTCATTCAGCTCACTGTTGCAAAAAACAAATGATTTCCCTTTCCTTTCTTACTTTATTTTTGAAACTTCCTTATCCTGTGTTTGCTGTGTAGCTCCGTTTGGTGATGTTGCAGCTGGAGTACGTTAGCTGCTAAAAGTACATTTGAAACTTCTTGCTTATGGTAAAAAAAAAAGGCAAACATGCGTGTTGCAGCCCCTTGGGTAGTTTTGAGAAGAATATAAATATGATGTGATGGTGGTATCCTCTGTTTCTACGAGGTGAGAGAATGCTGTGAGATGATGCTATATTCGTGACGGATGTGATCAGCTTACCTTGGCAGGAGATGTCTCAGCACCGGATTGTAGCTATCACTTTCACCACATGGCACATCTGTATTTAGGGACTGAAAACTACTTTGTGGATGCCTGTACCAGTAAACAGGAAGGAATTAGTGCATGGGAGGCTGAGACTTTGGTTGTGAGCTGATGACAGGGTAGGCTGGAGGGGAGGGAATATCAATGGAAAGGAGTATCAAATGGGACAGAAAATAGGGCATGTTTTTGCATATGGCTGCCTGCAGCAAGGAAGATGAGTATGGATCCACGGAACAGTGCCCACTTGTAGCACAAGAGGGACCACTGAAATGACTGGAAAATTGACTTAATTTTAAGGTGGAAACAGACTGTCTTTGGCTGGGGATACTGGAACAGGTCCTACCCACCCTTTGGGGCAGTTATCTCCTGGATGAGAAGTGGCATAAATGAAACTTCTATTGTGAAAAAAATAACATTATTGCTTAGCTGTACTCAAATCTTTCCTGCAGGAGACATTCCTCATCAAACACTCATAGTGGGATTTTTCAGAAGAGACTGGCACAGCCTTTGCTCTGCCACTGAACTCCGTGGAGGTGCCACAGGCTTTGGTGGGAAAACAAGCTAAGTCAATCTGGAGTGCTTTGGAAAGTCCAGTCTGGAATGGATCCTGGCAGCACAACTAGATAGGGATTGGAGGTGATGCTGAAAATGTCACGTAGAAATTTTCCATGCTGGCTAACAGTATCCTCTTCATCCCCTCTGGTTTAGAACTAATGGAAAGCAGTGTGTGGAGAAGCATGACTTCCAGGGAAAGGAAAATCAGCATAGAAAGTAATAAAAATACCCAGATTTCCTCTCTCCTCTGTGCCTTTCGTCAGGACAAAGGCTTCACTGCAGAACTTTCCTTCTAACCTGAGATTGCTGCTTAACTCTTCATGTACATAGTGTGTAATGCTCCTTCAGGAAAGGATACTGCTGAAGTGGGATGAGCAGATCTGTGTCTTCCCCAGAGTGAAAGGCACTTTCTCAGATGTGGGAGAGGAAGGGGAAGAGCATTATAGAATTATAGAACAGCTTGGGTTGGAAGGGATCTTAAAGATTTTCTAATTCCAGTCCCCACTTCACATCCTTTGTGTTAGGTTGCCTGTCTTACATAGAGTTAGGGCACAGAGGCTGCTGTATCAGATCACGTCCTCTTGACATGGAAAAAATGTAGTTTGGAAGGGACCTCTGGAGGTCTCTAGAATAATATTCCACTTCAGGCACAACAAGATTCAGAGTTTGGTGAGGCTACACAGCTGCTGAGGTGCAGGGCTGTATTCCCTGCTTGGTGTACAAACACAGCCTTTATTGGCTATGGAGCAGTGACCCAGGAGGCTCCAGGTTTTGTGGTTCTCCTGCTGTAAATGCAGTGACTGGAGCCCAGTCCTTGGCATTTTCCAAGGCTGCTGTTGTTCTCTAACAAGCTGACACTGTTGTCACTCAAAGGGAAGTCTTCAGCAAACTGCTCACTTTCCTCATTCACATAGATTTCAGATCTTCTGATAGGAAAAAGCCATACAAATAACAAATTATGATTTCAGGAGTGAAAATTATGATTTCATATATGGCAAATTCACCTTTTTATTTATTTATTTATTTATTTTGCTTGAATGGCTCCCTTGGCCAGCTTGGTGTTAGTCCCCACAGCAAGAACAAACTGCTCTTCAAAGTGGGTGGCATTGCTGAAGAACAATACTGCAGTCTCTTTAAGAGGCAGCAGTGGGGTTTTTAAGTTTGGTGTGTACTTTAAAGGCATGCTGTGGTACTGTTGGTGGCCAGGTCTGGCCCATGCCATGCTCTACTGGGATCTATCACCTTTCCCTTTGAAAAACTGGGAGGGATTGCCAAAGCCAGGATTCTCTCTGCTGCCACAGCTGCCATGTGGACATCCATCCAGGGGCAGTGAGGGATTCAAACTGGATCACTGTGAGCTAATGTCCACAACAACTGTTTGGAGCCCTCAGTGTTTTGGGACTTCTCTTAGTCAGGAATTTGTCTATGTCAGTTGCCTCTGAGCAGCCAAATATTTTCATGACTGCCAATTTTGTCTGTTGAATTCAAGCAATTTTTCCTGCTGTGACAGTGTTTTTTCCCAAGGAATATTAGGGATCACTTTGAATACTGTTTTAATTTTGGCTATTTTTTCACTGACAAGCATCCTGACAGGAAAGTGTCTGTTCATATCTAGTGTCTAAGTGAAATGCCTCTGTCAGTGCCATAGTGCCTTTGTTCTCTTTAGCTCCATTATAATGCTACTGTGCTAGCAGAATTCAGTTTTAACCACATCAGCAATCTTGTAACACCACTTTTGTAGCAAGGAAATGGCTGGCTGGAGAAGGACTATATATTAAAAAAAAAAAAAAAAAAAAGAAAAAAAAGAAAAAAAAGGGGTTGATATGGGTATAAAAAGTGTTGGTGCCATTTGGTATAAATTGTAATCAGTTCCAGACTGCTGCACTCAAACTTGAATCAAGGAATTGTACTTAGTGGTTTTTGTATTTTTAGGGTTCTCACCTAAACCACAGCCCTTGTAACCAGTCAATGGCCACAGCCATGGTGTCCAATCCCTCCCCTTAACGATGTAAAGAAAATGTTTATTTAAGTTTGAATTGAAATTGTATTCCTGAGCCCTGCAGCTTTTCAGGTGAAGTGCCAGAACCAGTCACACTAGACTGGGGCAAAGTAGGTGGGCTCAAGGCCTGGGTTCAGATAAACTGGATTTCACTTAATTCCTTCAATTGTATTTTGTTTAAGGCATTTCTGAAGGCCTGGAGCCAGTCAACATGGGAAAAACACTGGGATCTGAATGGAATTTAGGCCGGTTGATATGCTTCTGGCTCCCTCTTTGTCTTAAGTCAAATAACGTGTAAAAAGAGGCAAAAGGAAAAGGCAGAAACATGCAGAAAGTGATAGGCTTGTGTAGTGTCAGCAATGGATAAGTGCAGATTTAATGAGGCTGTTGAACCAGAATATTTCCAAGCTGGAGGCATGGTTTGGGTCAACTGCTGCACCTTTGAGTCAGGCAGGGGAGATGGAAGGACACACCAAAACCTCTGCTGTGTACTGCTGGTAACAGCAACAGATAGGCTAAGAGCTTATTGAGGCATGGGTTGTCTGGTTGGTTTGGGTTTTTTTTGGACCCAGAGTGAGTGTGTGTCTGCCCGAACTTACTGCTACTGGTAGCTTTTAACCCTGTGACCAGTTTCAGCTATATGTTTAAGGAAGAGAGGACCAGAAGGATGGTAGTTTGAGGCCTTCACATTTTAATGAACAGCTAGAAAGCAGTGATGCTTGCTGTGAGCAGGCCAGCTGTTGGCGTGGCAGCGGCTGCATCACTGCTCGTGTGGCCATCAGCCCTTCCAGCTGCAGACCTGTGCCTGGTGGGTAGGAAGATGCAAGGAGCTGGAGCTGGCCTGCTGAGGGGAGCTGTGGGGAAGGGCTGTAGGAAAACAGGCTTTGTTTTAGTGTTTTTTGCTCACGGAATGACTTGGGTTTGTGTTTTTTCTCTGAAGTCACAAAGCGACTTGGAGTGTATATTGTTTGAGAATGGCAAACTCCCAGGCTATTCTAAACTTGTTGTTTTAAAAAGATGCAATAAATCAGCAAGGAGTCAATCCTTGGCTCAAAATTACTTGGTCCGCACAGTGTTTGTCCTGAAGCAAAGGCTTTTAAGGGTACTGAAGTTTAACTGTCATTTCCTTAGCTGTCGCACTGGGATTCTCCTGGGAGCAGCACAGACCCACACTGCCATCCTAACTCCCTAACTGGGGGAGTGTTGGAGCAGTACTGAGATGTGGAAGCCTGAGGCTGCAGTGCTGGCTGTGATGGCAGCATAGGGGTGTAAGCCAGCTTTCACAGATGAGCCCAGCCCATTTCTGAGGCAGGAGGAGGCCATCCAGGGGAGAGAGATTGGGAAATTTCACGACAGCCAAATGCAGAACAGAATTCTTTAATCCAGATTGCAGGGTAACACCTTTCAGGAAGAATTTCTTTTAGCAAGGATTATCAAAGATATATAAAAAAGAGAATATAATCTAATGTGAAAGTACTCAGCTCCTTACAGCATAGTTCTATAACGTGGTGATGATGGGAAGCTCCTAAAAGTTTGGGGAAAAGCCACAGATCTTCAGAAGAGTGCAGCTTCTTTGCATGTGAAAGAGCTGCTCTGTTCTCAGAAGTACAGCTCTCTGTTGTTACCGTGCTTTCAGTTTCTCCACTTTTAATTCTCGAGCATCCGTTTCAGGCACTTCTCTGCTTCTTGAGGATATGTGGATTTTCACAAAAAAGAAGGATGAAATAAGCCCCAGCAAAACTCCTTTCAATGAAAGGAAGGTTCTGGTAACTTTGGAGGCAGATTTGATCAGTCTACAGAGCTACTTACTGGAGGGACAATGATTTAGTGAAACTGTTTCTGAATTCTGAATCCTGCTTAGATACAGAATGTGTTCTCTTAAATTTCAGGATGCCTCTTTTTAATGAAGTAGTGGACTCAGCTCTTGTGGGCAAATCATCATTGATAAGGAGAGAAAAAGAGACACCATATGTGAATTTTCAACTGTCATCACAGAGAAGAATTTCCATCAGTACCTTAAACGGAAGTTGACTGGAAGGAAGCCACAGCAGTATGTTAAGAGTTTTCAGTGGGTATGTCTCAGCTATAACTCTGCATATTGGTTTTTGAGATTTTTGTGCATCTCACACTCTTATTTGAGAAAATTTAAGGAGATAATAGGCTGTAGAAAATTAAAATTTAAGCAGGACAACTATGAGCCCTTTAGCTACAGAATTTCCTAGCGTGATCAGATCTTTCTTCCTTTTCTGTAACCACAGCAGATAAGCAGGTAGTTTTTCTTCTAATTTTAGATAAGCTGTAGCGTTCCTCTTCTGACTGAGGAGAGAGACTGGCCCTCCATCCTTCTCCTGCTTTACTCCAGAATAAAGTTGTACATGTTTGATACTTTGCAAGTAGTCTTTTCCTCGTAGATACCCCCTAACATTTTTATTTGGGACAGTTGCCTTCATTTTTCATAAATCAGATCTTAAATGTACAATGTCTTCACTTGTCCTAGTGTCAGACTTTGGCAGTTGCAGAGGAGAGGCCCTGAGAAGGAGCCACGCTTCCACAGCAAACAGGGACAGGGGCTTTAACGAGACCTACTGAGCTCTTAGTACTTAAAAGGATGCAGCGTACAGCATTTTTAGTTCTGTGACTGACCTAAATATTGTAAAGTACTCAGACATGAAACAAGTGTTCCTTTTCTTTGGTGAAATGAGAAATAAAAATCAAATTTTCAGGCAATTTAAAAGTCTCATTTTATCCTTTTCCTCTTAATGCAGGGCAGGTCTGAAAGACACAACAAAAAATGTTTCATTTGGAAAACATCATAAGGACCTGCTGTAGGATTGCCAAAGTAAACTGTTTCATTCTAGAGGAGGTCGAAGTGAAACATCTGTCAGTCTGGTAATCTTTGTGTCCTTCCACTGAAAAATGGAGCCGATGGGAAGGTACAGTTCAGCAAGCAAAGAAAAGGAAATTCTCCCTCTTCTCTTAACTATTTCTGAAAACTGAGCCATCATACTGAAGAGCCTGATTCGCAGACTTAGTGGGAATTACGCCTGAGCCAGGTAGCAAGAAAAGTTCCATGGAAGACAACATCCAAGTCAAACAATTTCTGTAGGTCTGGGTTTGAAATCCTCACCCTGCAAGTCTTAACTTCAGCCATCAGCTAACTCAGTTTCTGGTCTTATTAAAACAAGATGAGAAGAAGAAAAACAGCCAGGCACCTCCCTCCCACTGCTGCAATGTAAGTTAATTCTAGTACTGTAAACACCCTGGGGTTACATTCATGTAACTTAAATACCAATAAGGGAAATAAAAAAGCCTACAATTAGTAAATAGCTTTTTCTAAAAAAAAGGTGATTTTATTGAGTTTTAATATACAGCTTTAATATGTTAGGGTAATCATACAAGATCTCTCGTGTTCAATTTACACATTACAATACAGACGTGAGCTAAAATCTTTTGTTTTAATGTACAAAAGGAATCCAATGTTGTCCACTAGCAGCTTTGAACTTGGCAAGAAAGGTTCTAGAGACTTTAAGTGCAGTAACAACCATACAGAATACAAAATGAATACAAGGACTTTTCTCCAAGGTATATAAACATTTGAAAACAAATGGTGCCTGCTCCACAGGGCAGACAACTGGCAAATTAAAACAAGTCACTGACCAATGTTCCAGAGTAGGAGCATTACCCTGTGTAACAGTTCTTATAAAATATCCTAAGAATATCTGTATCAAATAATTTGTACTGATCAGAAAAAAGGTCTGAGAAGAAACAGTAGGCAAGGAACTGAACAATCAAAAATGACATAGTAATATAAAATATTTCCATCACTATTTAAATGCCAAATTAAATCAAGCAATAGTAAAAACAAAACAGAAACAAAAACAACAACAAAGAAACAGAAAACTAAAGCTCTTCTGTTTGAAATAACAGCACTGTTTTTGCTTATTTTCAATGATTTTTTTTCTTATGAACACACTATATACTTGATTATTTCTTTCATACAGAGTAATGTGTCCATTTGGTTTGGTCTGTCACTTCAGTGAAGCTGACCAGCAGTCAGCCCATCACGTCTCACCTTTGACACATATTTAATGCTTTTTTCCCCTTATGTTCACTACTCTGGTGCCGCCTCCTTCTCAAGTTAAATACTTTTTCTTCTTTATACAGTGCAGAGTATATGGGCTTAGGATATGGAGATTTTCCTCTACTCCAGTTCACTGTCTAGTTCTGAGTTCAGTGGTGTGCAGTAGTTTGGCTTGTCTGAAGGTACGTACCCTGGGAGACACAAACACTTGTACGAACCTTCTGTGTTAATGCATTTGGCGTTCTTGCAGAGAGACATCCTGTTGTTCAGCTCATTGCACTCATTCACATCTGCAAAAAGTGGACAGCAAAACACACGTACTTCAGCATGTAGGTAAAACATTTATTTCCAGCATTGGCAGGAGCAGAGTAGGCTGTAGGAAGACACTGAGAATTATGCATTCAGTTGAGATCAGGTGGTAATAGGCTAGCCCAAAAACTGTAACACACAAACCTTTTGTTGGGAAGAAGTGGTAGTTATCATAGGAAATCAGTGTATTTGAAAACCTTAAATTGTTACATTACTTAAGCGGTGGCACAAAATTTCAATAACCACTTACAGGTTTCCATTTGATTGCATGAAAGTAGCTTTATAAGAAGAGTGTTGCTGGTTCTTAGTATAATATCTGTATTTAAAAAGCAAGTATTTCAGGCCTTGCTGGTGCTGCCAACAAGACAGGTATGAACAGCAAATTACCTGTAGTCCATAATGTGCAGCATTTGGCCTGAAACACCCAGAGCTAAGGAGGTTAATTTGCTGTAAAGTTCTAAAGATTACAAGGCATGCAGGTAAGCTTACCATGATACACCTAGGAGACAAAAGCTGTGCATTACACAGCATACTGCTGGCAGGGTTAGCACGGACACTGACAAATACCCACACACCCCCTGTGATAGGCTGTAAGCTGAGAAGTGCTGGTTGTTTTGCTTCATCTTCTACCTGCTGCTTCACCTTTCCCTGTTTTTTAATTGTATACACAGTCACTAGATGTCCTGGTTGTCTGCTGTGCAGATTGACTAATTTATGAGTGAGAGGACAGACTGTTTATTTTCACTGCTGAAATCAGTGAGAGTTAGTGGACCATGTCCTGCCAAATGGACATCTGAATATTTGGGAGATAACGCTTAAAAGCTGCTTAAAAAACTCGCTCCTGAAATTATTCTTCTGCTCTGGATCCAGATCTATTCTCTATTGAAAAAGCTTTGCTCTCTGTGTTACAGTGTTGCATTGTTGATACAAGTTTAAGCTTCCTTGCACAAGGGTGTGTCTTTTCATTTCTAGGCTCTTAACTGAACACAGCTGTCACGAACTGAGGAACAGCACCGCAGTTACTTCTGTAGCCCTTGCAGTAATGAAGATTAAATAGGCATATTTAATAGAACATCAATAATCATCAGTATCCTCTTCTTTTTTTTTTTTTTTCTTAGCCTCTGCTTAGGTCAAGTGACCGAATAACACTGACAGGCTAAAAGAAGAATAAGTAGTAAATACACTGTGCTCACCAACACAAGTCATCTTGGCCATGTCCAGGTGATAACCATCAAAGCAGTCGCAGGTGTAGCCTTCCTGGACTCTCACACATCGGCCATTTTCACATCCGTTCAGAATACCACACTCCTCTGCTTGTAACTCCTCAAAGCTGTTCAGAAAACCTGAGCGAAGAAAGAATTACCAACAAGTAAGTTAGTTATTGTGCTGCTGAATGAATATATACACCCAAACACAGAGCGAGACTGAAATTCTCTTGGAGGTTTGCTGGAATGTGAGTTGACTTTGCAGAATGCAGGTCAGCTTTAGCAGAGCTACACCATCTGGAGTCATAAATGTACTAGAAAAGTGCTCTGATGTTTCAAGATGAAAACTGAATGACTTAGTGAATGCTGTATTTTAAAATTGTGTTTAAAAACCCGAGGGTTGGCTTTTTGGTTTGGGATTTTTTATTTTTTTTTAATTTTTTTTTTTTTTTGTAAATTAAATGGCATGCTTTGTCTATTTTTTAAAGGATAAATCAATGTTTTCTCAGTTGCACATTTTATTTTAATATTTAAATATATCAACTTTTATGTAAACAAAGGTAAGCAGTGGTAGTGCAGTCTGGGACAAAAGTTCTTTACAATAGTATTCTAGAAAAGTGAGGTGTGCTTATGGGGGAAAATACTTAAATTCGATTGCCTTAAGGAAAGTAAGAAGAAATCAGATACTGCTTTACTATTGTGGGTTTGGTTAATAACTCTTTGGCTGGTACTTCAGCAATCAGTGCCAGTACAAATACTTGTAATCTACCCGTCGTTCCATGTCATAATTCTCAATGGTGAGTAGCCAAAGGCTCCCTGTTTCATTATGAATTTATGTATAAAGAGGGATATATATTTTTTTTTAAAAAAAAAAGAAAGACATTTTTTACACATTCAGAGATTTTCTGTAAGACTGAATTGCTCCTCTTAGTTCTGCGTAAGTTTTTCAACCAGCTTTCAATTCACTGAGCTGTTTGTAACAGGACTGCAGATGGCAGCCCATCACATCAAAAGGCCTTCTAAGGAAAAAGGCTGGAGCGTGCGAGACTCTGTTGGCCTACCAGCATAATGAATATATAGCACAGAAGTGGAGGTGAAACTGGGGCTGGAATGGAACAAAGTATAATACATCTCCCCATCTGTCCCATAACGTATGATTAGTGGAGTGAACGCACAAACCATCGGTTTATGTAAAACCTGGTTACTTATTCACTGTTAGAACAGTTGTAACCAATTTGCAAAGCCACCTTGCAATATAAATTTCTCTCCCTTTCCCGCTGCTTGTTCTGTCTTTTTCTATACATTTCATCCTGTCTTGGTTCTCGGGTCTCTCTTTTCTCTACTGCCTTGCTCTTTCTACTCTGCCCTTTTGTACTATCCTCCACGTATATCCTTCAGCTTCGGCTATACATGCCACTTTTCTGTGATGAAAACATTGGACCTACACCAAGTGGCTGCTTTTGAAGAATATACTGAGGTCTGTAAGGATTTATTTCCCTCAGGCCTTAACAGGAAGCTGGGCCAGATCCATCAACAGCCTGGACATTCCTGAAGGACATCTGAGATGTTGTACACAATCCCTCACATCCTGCCTGCAGCCATTCCTGAAGGTTGTATGCATGCATACTCTCTGATCATCCTTTCTGTAGTTTCACTGCAGAGAGAGAACAGCTTGCGCGCTCTCCGTTTCTTCCATCTGAATTGTACTGGAAAATCATGAAGTACTGGCATGGAGGTATTTTTTTCTTTTTCCCTTTTTTTTTTTTTTTTTTTTTTTTTTTGTGTGTGTGTGTGTGTGTGTGTGTGTGTGTGTATGTGTGTCTCTTTTCAACTAAATGTACTCCAAAGAACTCTGTCCCAAGCTCCAGTGGAAAATTAATTTGTGAGAAAGAAAACTGGCGCTCCTCTCTACCTTCAGCTGTAAATCTGTTGGTAAATATAAATTTAGTGCATTTGGCACAGAATGTTCTACTGTATTAAAAATTAAAATTGCACTCTGAGCCCAAATGGACTCTTATACAACACAGGCTCTTGAACCAAAACACCTGACTGAAAGCTAATGTCATAGGAATAACTAAAAAATAAATAGGACACATTACTCAGAAGCAAACAGAAGAGTAAAGCCAGCTACAGGGAAATAATCCAAGTTACAACCCTCATTTCAAGCATTTTACATAACAGAGAAACTTGCTTACGATCTTCAATGAAGTATGGATTAGTTTCTGGAGTGTAGTGCTCCTCAAAGTCAACCAAAGCATCTTGTCCATATGGCCGTCGAGATCCTGGAACAGGAATGTTGCACAGCTGGGCATAATCCTCTGAGGGGAGAAAGAAAAGAGGATATAAAACTAATCACACTTGTAACACAGTCTGCGTTGCATTAGTCGCAGTGTATTGTGGCTCATATTAGCTGGAAATAAACTTATCTTCCTAGAAACACCATAAATCTGCGATTCCCACAAAGCATTGTCTCTTCAAGAAGAATGTCATTAAAATGTAACGAGCCAAATGCAGACTATTAAGTCATAACGGGATAACATCAGGGATAGATTTCAGTAACTGCACCAAAAGTTATGGGTCATGTTCTTCTGGTCTGCTCTTGCCTTGAGCCGAGGGATGCTGTGTGTCCCACTGCCAGTGCACCCCTGACCAGAACTAGCTATGCTTATGCTCTTTGCTGGTTTAATAAAGGCTCGCCCAGCCCTTGTCTGCTAGCAGAAGACATCCCAAAGGAAGCAAAGGAAGCTATATTTCTGGCAGTGCCAGCCAACCTGCAGAAATCACAGAATAAAAACCCTTCCAAAATAGCATGCACTCCTTTGCAAACCATTCTTCAAACCACAGGCTTAATTGTTAATGCTGTTCAAGGTCTGCTTTGGCTGCAAACCTGACAGGGCAAGGGGAAATGTATGGGAAAAATAACTACACTGAAATTCTCCTCTTGAGTGAAAACATACCAAAGCAGCTCTTCATTTTAGGTGTCAGAGTCTGAAATGCTGGTGTACAGAGTTTGATTTTCTTTTTTTTTTGATTTATTGTGCTCCCTCAGTTTTTTAGTAAACGGTAACTTATTTGAGACTGGAAACTCTGTTAAAATCCAGTAATCCAGGTGCTCCCTTACGCTTGCTACAGACTATTTAGCATCTGTTTCTGTGAAGATTGCCTGGTGTTCTGAGAATCAGGCAGAGTAAGGACGGGAACGAAAACCACCAAAAAGAGAGAGAGGAAAAAAAGCCCTAAGTAGATACAAAATCCAAGAATTGCAGATGGTTACAAAGCCAGAAACCTCATGCTGTGTTGAACTGTCCCAGACAGCAAATAGTCGGATATATCCAGACTGCCTCCAGACAGCCCAGAGGACAGCCCCTTTTGCTGCTCAGCACTGTCTTCTGGTTTTCCTAGGTACTATCATCTCCTTCACATGGGATGGCTTCACACTGTACCAAAAAGAATAAGGTGCTCAAAAGTCTGCTTGAATCCTGTGGCCAGCAACTCGGCTCTTGTGAATGTGAAACACTATATTGAGTGCAGAGCTTGTCATTGCATTTTGTAAAACTGCCACTGGGTTCCAGCCCACGTCTGCAGAATGCTACTTAGAAATCCTTCTAAACCTCAACCACCTTCTGCTCCAAGTGCGAGGGTTTTCTCCATTTTGCTCCTTTATATTATGTTTAGACACAGTACTCTGTGTACCTGAACAATCCTCTCCTCCTCACCCAGGTAAAAAAAAAAGACACTGCCCAACGGAGATATGCCTTGGTACTCAAACAAAACACAGCCAGCATAAAAAAAACCTCGGTATATAATGTTACCTACATTCCTTAACGCACAGCTTCCCACTGAGTTACTATAATAACGATCAGTTCTAACAGTTGTTACCAGAAACACCTTATTTTTTCCTTTCCCCTCATTTTACCTCAAAGTACAGGAACAGCTGGGTTGTCATCTCAGACTGACTCTTCCACTCTTTTATGCTGAACTACTGATCCTTTGCTGGTCACGTGAAATGTCTGCATTTTTAGGTCTCATTATAACTAAATTAGCAGCAACAAAATGATGAAGAGTTGTCTTAGAGCTTACTGTAAGATTTGCCTTTGTTACAATGAGTTTTTAACTGTATCAATGTCTTCCACAAGGCTATACTTACAACTGTAATACTCTGTTAAACTCTTGGAGTCCATCATGCTTAACCATTTGTTAATGCAATCTGATCCTTAATAGTCCATATATTACCTGTATATACAGTTCTAGTACAGAAGCTTGCAAAGCATTTAAGTAGTCTTAACTTTACAATGTATACATCTATAGTACCTATATAGAATGTACACACTTGTTTTGATACATACTGTGATGACTTCAAAATTACCTGTAATAACCTTTGTGTACTGTATGCTCTTTTTAATTGTCCAAGTAATTGTTGATTCAGCTACTAGACAAAACCAAGGAGAGCAACAGCAAGCCACCTAAGAAATCATAAGCAGAAACTCAGGACCAATAACCAAATGCACCATGTAGTTGTACTTGCTTTTCTCCCTAGGGAAGGAAAGGGTGGGCAGAGAGGAAAGTACAAAGATTGGAAGGCCTTTAGGAGGGTCATGCTATGGAAAATCTTGAGAACTGGCGTTTTGAATCGAAGTTAGTTAGAGACTTGGATGCCTTTAGATTCCCTCTTTGGATGATAGAACAGCATGATAGTTACAGGATGATAGTTACTGCAAGACAGATGTGTATGTATAATTGTTGTTGTTTTAAACTTTTCCCCTTGCTATGCTATGTTCCTACAGTTCCAATTAAAAATATATTTTGGGTCACCGCACTGCGCTGGTCACAATTTCCCAGGGAAGCAATTTAAAACAAAGTGCTATAAGATACTTTGGTGAAGACATATGAATAGTGCACAGAAAGCTGCAGCAAGTGTACAAATGAGTGAACAGCATGATGCTGCCCCGGGGAGATGTCTGGAGGAGGATGACATCATGAAGGCAGGAGGGAGGCAGAGAACAAGGAGCAATCTGTAACAACCTCTGAATTACAAAAACATTTCAGCTGTCATAGAAATTAATGCTGGCTTTCAAAATAGTCTTTCATATAAAATGATGGAAAAAAGTGTTTTCTATAATCACAATCAATGCTAGAACTTTTTTCACACAGATTCATTTTCTCTGCTAGCTCATCTTCTGGCTGCGATCAGCAATAATGATGCAACTACTGTTACAAGGGGCAATTAAAAGGAGTTAATCTGTGTTGCCTCATGTTTTTCTGTGTTTTTCTCACAACACTGATATGAAGCATTGAGACAGCTTATTGTATAACATAGCAGAGCTATCATAAAAAGAAGCTGATTTATACTTCCAAAATCATAAAGGACATTTTCTAAGGCAGATGCATGCACATGAAACAAATACGTTATGGGATTACAGCTAGATGCTCATGCATACTGGCACAGATGTTAGCCATAATTGGTGGTGAAAGCTGAGCTGACAAGATGACAGAACATAAAAGGGATGGATTGACCGCTTTGAGATTCTTGTTAGCACAAATGCAGCTGCACATATAATTTGCATAAAGTTGTAACTGCACAAGCTTGTGCGGGCCTTGCTTGCACCTGGAGTCATAGAAATACTAAACTCTCTAGTCAGAAAAAACATTCCCTATTTCATGCATCTAAGACAAAATACTGTATTAAAAAAGCGTTTCTCGACATAACCATGATTGAACCACAGCCAGTCCTCCCTCCTGCCTATAAAGCAAGCTTTATTTCTCTTCCAGCTTCTTAGAACTGTCATCATTGCACAAACTAAAAAGCAGCCAAGGCTATCAACATCATGGCAATCCCTTCATGTTATTTAAAAATGCAACAGATCGACTATGGAAGACATTACTGGAGGGAAGGACAAAGCCAACAAAACATGTATTACATGTAATGAAGGTACCTTCCCAATCAGAGCTTCTGGACATCAGTCTGAATAGGCTGAGTTTCTGCTGTCTCAGGAGATTGCATCACTTGTGAACTGAAGCTGAAAATATTTCTGTAGTACCTTTAGACTGTGCTCTTTGACAATTTAGATAATTTTATCAACATCTTTCACAAACAGATGCTGAGGTCTGTGGTAGACTGCATTCATATATATGCTACAACTCTTGGTACTCAAGAAAACATGAAGAGTACCAGGACTTTTCATGACAGAACATGTCTTTGCATGAAGAAACTCTGATTGAAATTGCTGAGGAAAACTCTCAGGGGATATACAGCTCTGGTTAAAATTGAAGCAAGTACCAACCTCATGATATTAAAATCTTCCTTATGTTCCTCATCTGAGGCTGCTCATATTTCCTAAAACAAGGTTTTCTCCTACTGCTTGTGGTAGATTGTTAAAAGTCAGAGTGTTTCTGTCACAGCTTTGCAAATGGCCTTCTGACTCCTTGCTGACTTACATATATGCATGGAATTCCATGAGCAAAACCCTTCCAAAGTTATTCTACTACACTTCAGAAAAAAACATTGACAGAAATGAAAGCAGCCAAAAATCTGCACAACGGAGCATAAGACTTTAAATATTCAAGACCCAATCACTACTATTTTCTGTGCCCCAAAGGTAATTCATTTGTCCAGGATCCTTACCAGAAAGGAAGCAGGCACAATGCCATCCTAAATGGAAAGATGAACAATGATCTCCAGAAATCAATCCAGTGCCTCCCTGCTGATCTTTACCATCTTGAAAGAGTACAGATGGA